CCTTATCAAAAATTCAACCCCCTCCCCCCGGAAGCTTCTCGTAATCGTTTCGCATCTCCTGTTTCAACGATATCCTGTTACGTTCATACGAAACTTGCAGTTTGCAGTACGTTTATCGTCCAGTTATTTCGCCTGTTAATTGTCGCAGGGTAGCGAAGAAAAGTTAGAAACGCCGATGGCTCGACTGTTAGTGGTGCGTGTCGAGCTGCGGGGGTCCACCCGCGCCCACGCGTATAATTACTTGAGTCAATTCCCCGCAAGTTTGGCAAGCATCGTGTCGACCGATCGTACGCGGCGTCATTAAAATTTCGCGAGTAACCCACCCGCGGTTAGAAACTGGCTGTATCTCCGGCAACGAATTTCGAGGCAACGTCCTCCATTTCGAGAGCAGAATCCGCGAATCGAAACTGGGTTATGTTATACATATGAATGAACCGGACACGGTTTACGCTACTTTCGCACACGAAATCTTCGATCGGCGCGTTTTTTCCCCCCGATACTGTGAATCAACTGCGACTGTGCATCGCCTTGGAACGTTTCTCTGATTGTATGTACACACAAAAGCTCTCCGTTTTTCGCGCTAAATATGAAAATTCATTTTTTCTTTAGTACGAAGGCGTTGCTTTTCTTTCTCTTGTTTGAATATTTGATACCGAGCGGAAAGCTTGTTTCGGACGTGTGATCGGATATAATGTTTGCACAGTGGCGTAATATTCAATTGAAGGTAATTAGATATTTAATTCCTCTGTTGGAATGAAACGTGAAACGTTGACGTAAAAGCGTTGTTATTTTTTCCGTCTTTTTTTATTTCTTTTTTCACTTTTTATTTTATGTGTTTCATAAATTGTAGCATTCGTGAATCGAGCAACAGACCGAGAATAATCCAGACAATCTAATTTTTCCTGGCGTAGCGAAGAAAAAAATTTCATGAAATACGGTTACATGAAATGTACGATCGTGAATCTCCCCCTACTTCGTTTCTGTACGTATAAATTTATCTTAGAAGCTAACACACGAAAACGAATCAGTCTACTGAAATTTATTGCGTACTGTTGCAAAGATATAAAACACTGTATTAATCGATCAGAAATTACGAGGCAGATGATCATTACTCAACTTCGTTGAACTATTATTCGATAGAAGGAACTTCAAAAAAATTACCAGGAAAGTAATACTCTGAAAAATCACTTTGTTTCTTAAATATCTTTACTTTTTATTACTTTTTATTACTTCTTACTCAACTTTATCACCTCTTAAATTTTTATTATAAATTCCACTTTAATTCATCTCATTCGATTACTCAAACAAATGGTAATTAATTAACGCACAACTCGAAACGAGTAGCTCGATCAAGACGAAAATATGAAGGGAACGTGAAAATACAGAACGACGACAATCGACAGTTACCTAGCGAAAGATGGCCAAGCAAAAACACCATCCAGACGGAATAACAGAGTTCGCTTCAATTAAAATCGTAGCTGATATTTGTCAGAGATTTCGGACGAATAAACATTCTGGGTATATCGGGCGAGGTGGTTGCACTTCGTTCAATGGAAAGGTGGATAGGTCGACGGTGGCCAAGTGCACTTCCGATGCATCCCTTGCAGTTTGCTACAGACAGGTGACGATCCATTGTGCCGGTAAAATATTGACACTCGATATTTTCCTGCACTCAGCACCGGGGGAAAAACGTTTACACGTAAGCCCATCTTCGTGATGGAGGTCTGTGCTTTCCCTTCCTCTCTCTCTCTCTCTCTCTCTCTCTCTCT